TATATTGTGATCACACTGAGAGAACTGTGGAGGTCTTTGTACGTGGCAGAGCTGAAAGCACAAGGAGGCCAGTGTGCATCAATGCCTATAACCGGCGTATGGGTGGGGTTGATCTTGCAGATCAGCTGCTGCAGCCCTACCTAATTATACAGAAGAGAAGGGCCTGGTACTAAATAGTTGAAAATTACTTAATGCAGATTGCAACCCACAACGCTTTTTTGTTGTTCAAAAAAGCAAACCCTGGAATGAAACTGACTTTTTTACAGTTTCAGCTCCAAATAATTTTGCAGATTTTGTACCAAGATGCACTTGCTCCCGGAGGGTGATGGTAGAGAGCAGAGTTGGGGCTATCCACTTAATTTTAAAAATCCCCCCTACTGTGGCAAATCAGAATCCTCAAAAAAAGATGCAGAGTCTGTTTCAAGAGAAAGGACACCGTCTTTTACTTTCCTGATTGCCCTTGACAGCCTGGACTCTGCATTGGGGACTGCTTCAAGCAACATTTGCCGTTCAGTTTTTTTTTTTTGCTTACGTTTACTGTTCATGAGTTTTTTTGTTTTTTTTACTTTTACTGTGCCAAACTATTTTTATGATCAAGTTCAACCTATGCATGGGGGCATGAGTGTACTCAAGAGGCCTTACAGAAAACAACCTGGAGTATTTTCTTGCAATAACCAGCAACAGACTCCCCTAAATCACACACAAATGTGTGTGTAAAAATGAAAATTTTAAAATTACCAACACACATTTTCTCTATTGTTTTTGGCTAAAATAGTTGCAACAAAACACTCCATATACAATACCTTGGGGTGTCTACTTTTCAAATATATCCACGTTCAGGGTAAGAAAATAAATTGGGATATGTTAAAAAGGCCTCCAAAAAGAAGATAGGCAAAGAAGATAGGTCAAGTTTGAAAACCACATGTCAGAAGTTTGTCATTGCACCCCACAAACAACCCAACAAACCTATGCACATGTGGTATCACTGTACTGAGGAGATATTGCTGAATAGATATTGAGGTGTTCTTTGTCAGTAACACATAACAGGAACTGAGAATCCATGCCTTAAGTACAATGTGAGAGAAAAATAACACAAAAAAAATGACTACCCAAAATTTTGACAAAAAATGGTGGTAGAATTAGTGCATGGAAAGTTTTAAACTACAACCATTTGAAATACCCTAGGATGTCTACGTTTCAAAAATATATGGTTTGATGGGGGTAAATTACATTGGCCGGCTTCAAAAATTTCCTAAATAGGACATGGGTGCATGATGACCAGATGTGAAAATACCAAATAAGGTATTTTAGCCCCCAGAGAACCTATACATGTGGGGTATCACTGTACTCAGGAGATGTTGTTGAATGCATATTGGGGTGTTCTTTGGCAGTAACCCTTAAAGTTCTCAGTATATGTTTTCTTAAATTGTATGTGCGTCAAAAAAAATCACCAATTTTTTTTTTTTTTTAATTTGGCATAGATTGGTAGTAAAATGATTACATGAAAAGAGTCAAAATACCCAAAGATTAATGCCTTAGCAAAGTGCAACTTGTACTTATTGCCATATAACTTGCAATAAAAAGCTAAGACCGTGTTAACATTGGGTATTTCTAAACTCAGGACAAAATTTAGAAACTATTTAGCATTTTTGGCAGTTGTAGATGTGTAACAGATTTTGGGGGTCAATGTTAAAAAAGTATGTTTTTTTTTTTTTAAAAATCATCATATTTTATAATATTTTTTATAGTAAATTAAATGATATGATGAAAATAATGTTATCTTTAGAAAAAAACATTTATTGGCGAGAAAAACTGTATATAATATGTGTGGGTACAGTAAATGAGTAAGAGGAAAATTACAGCTAAACACAAACACCACAAAAATGTAAAAACAGCCCTGGTCCTTAGTGGTAAGAAAAGTGAAAAAACAGCCTGGTCACTAAGGGGTTAAGTATCCCATAATTCCCCAAAACTACATATCACATAAGAACTTGCTGGTCATATAATTAAGTCCTGCACACTCACAGAAATGTAAAAGCTAGGTTTGGCTGAGAAATGTTACTTACATTCTTGTTTTTTACTTAATGACACAAGCAATGCTGGCATTTTTGCTATATGTGTGTGTTCAACAACAATTTCCATCTTTGTCATTTATTGCACCAGAACACATATACATTTGCTGTTGAGGCGTTTGACGATATGTTGTACTCACCTGCACAACAAAAATAAAAATTGAAAAGAAAAAGAAAAAAATGCAGAAATAAATGCAAAAAAATAAACTGTTTTTCAGTTTTGGCAATAATAATGTGTACTTAATTAGTGCAGTACAAGCAAAAAAACTCTAAATCAATTAATTAATTTGTGTTCATTTATTAAGTATGTCACACATCATACAATTTCAGTACATTCATTGATAGTTTCAGGATACAATATATATGTAGTTAAATCCATTTTTTTTTAATGTATAATAATTTTATATTTATATATTTTTATCTTCTAAGTTTAATGGCCATAACAGAAAAAAAAATACAATACAAAAGTATATAGTTATATCAAATAGACATCACATGGTATTTAGTTAAAGGTGTTTTTAGTCTTTTTTATATAGATACATATATTGTTATATCTAGTTACATAGGCTGAATAGAGACGTGTCCATTCAGCCTTTCTCACATCTGTTTTTGCTGTTGATCGAAATGAAGGCAAAAATAAATAGTTTGAAGCACTTCCAATTTTGCAACAAACTAATAAAAATCCCTTCTTGACCCCAGAATGGCAGTCAGATTTTTCCTTGAATCAAGAAGCTACTACCCCTTAATTTGAAAATTATATCCTTGAATATTATGTTTACACTTGTTAACCTTTCTTTATAACTGAAATGTTCCATTCCTTTTATTAATTTTGTAGGCCACCACTGCACTTTTTCTAGTGCCATAATATTATTCCGTAGAACAGGTGCCCAAAATTGCACATCATATTCAATATGTGATTACCAGTGATTTATAAAGAGGCAACATTGTATTCTCATCTCGAGATTTAATGCCACTTTTTATACATGACAATATCTAACTGACCTTAGTGGCTGCTGTTCCCAAATCCTTCTTGTGTATTGTTAATTCACTACCATTTAGGGTATAAGTTGCTTGTGCTTTCTTTATCCTGAAGTGAACAACTTTGCATTTTCCTACATTAAATTCCTTCTGCCATTAGAGTGCCCAGTCCCACAATCTATCTAGATCCTTCCGCAGCAAAGTCATATCTCACATATAGTAATAAGCTCATATTACATTCATTTACAGAGTTTTGTGTTATCTTCAGGCAGTGAAATATAACTTTCAATGTTTATTTCAAGATCCTTTGTAAATATGTTTAATAGAAGCAGACTCAGAACAGAACCCTGAGGGACACAACTTACCACTTTTGTCCAGCTTGACCATTTACCATTGGAACCATATTATTATTATTATTATTATTATTATTGCCATTTATATAGCGCCAACAGATTCCGTAGCGCTTTACATTATGAGAGGGGATTTAACTATAAATAGGACAATTACAAATAAACTTACAGGAACAAAAGGTTGAAGAGGACCCTGCTCAATCGAGCTTACATTCTATAGGAGGTGGGGTGTAAAACACATTAGGACAGGAATTTGCAATCAAATAAGGTGGGCTGCCCTTTAGGAGAGGGCAAGAGACGGGTATGTTAGGTAGAGGTTAGTCTTGGAGGCCATAAGCTTTCCTAAAGAGATGGGTTTTAAGGCACTTCTTAAAAGATGCAAGACTAGGGGAGAGTCGGATGGCGGTAGGCAGGCTATTCCATAGGAAGGGAGCCGCCCGCGAGAAGTCCTGCAAGCGCGAGTAGGCCGTACGGGTGCGGACAACGGACAGGAGGTGGTCACGGGCAGAGCGGAGAGACCGAGAAGGGACATACTTGTGGATCTGTGAGGAGATATAAGAGTTGTTCAGTGTTGTATCAAATGTCTTGACAAAATCCAAGTAGATCACATCCACTGCAACACCCTGATCTACTTACTCCTTAGTAGAACACAATTAAGTGTGTTTGACATGACCTATGTTTTATAAAATCATTCTGATATAGTAATTTACCTGCCAATCTCTAAAAAAATATTGCAGTAAAATTGTGTGTGTGTGTGGGGGTGGGCTAGGATGGTTTGCATACACACTTATAACAAGGTTTATTTAATATGTATTTCATAAACCTGATGTGTGCTAATCCTGCATGAAAACCCACATGGAGTTCAATACTACCCCCAATGTATGCATTTGTTACTTTATTGTGAAGCTACAGTGCCATTTAAGAGACCTGACCAATGTAGTTTTTACAGAATTTTGACAGATGCATTTGATAGACCTATTTCACATTTTGGGGCATTGCAGCAATTTGACAGTTCAAATTACTCCACAAAGACCTACTAGATGTAAAAATAAACAAAGACCTTCTATATCTCATATGATGTATATTGTCCATTAACTTTCTGCTATTTTTTCACCAGTTTATTCAAAGATTATGTTTAAAAATATATATATATTTTTACATACACGTATGCATAAAAGGCTTGATGTATTTTGTCTGTATTCTGAGACCTTCTCAATAGTTGTGATTCCCCTTCTCTGTCCTGTTCTTTACACTATCTTCTATTAGTGGCAATTGATTATTTTAGCACTTACTAGAAAAGAAACAGGATGGATTTTTAAATTGAAAATGTTGGGTTGGAATGGTTTCAATAAAGAAATAGATATCCTAGCTTTCATGAATTAATATGTGTTTTTAGCTTCTTTTTCTACTATAGAATAAAGAAATCTTCTTTTATATACATATACATCTTTTTTTATCATAGGTGTATATGTTTCTATATATAAATGGGTGGATATATGTCTGTGTGTGTATATATAAATGTGTATATAGATTTTAAAAAACAGATAAAATTCTTATCTTGTAATACCTTTTTTATTGGACTAACAGAATTTTTTAATGACAAGCTTTCGGGAGAACCTCCCTTTCTCAAGTCTGAAGCATTTCTGAGCTCAGAAATGCTTCAGACTTGAGAAAGGGAGGTTCTCCCGAAAGCTTGTCATTAAAAAAATTCTGTTAGTCCAATAAAAAAGGTATTACAAGATAAGAATTTTATCTGTTTTTTACATCTACATCACTGGACTAATACGGCTACAATCTCTACTTGAACACTATATAGATTTTTAAATATATATTTTAATATAGCTTTTAAATAGATGTGTAAATATAATATACATACATTTTAATTATTGTTTTTGCTACATATATGTCTCATATGGCAAAGATTATTGTTCCTATGTAAATTTCCTCAAAGTGTAAAAAATGAATTAAAGTGTTTATTTAATGTATATTATTGATGTTTATTTATGTAATGATTTTGTATGTATGTTTTATTATAATGAATTTTTTTTTAACACCAGAGACAAACATGAGTCACCAGTTATATTACTTCACACAAAGATACACCATAGTTTATTTATATATAGTATATAAAGGAAACTGGTTTTGTTCATAGTTGTCCTTGCGTTTTATGAATAAAGTTTGTTTTAGACATTTTTCCCTTGAGAAGGTCAGCAAAAATGTAAGGAGCCTACAACACTGACGGTATGAAACCACACTTGTGTGTATATAACATTTAGTGCAGTAACATGAGACGACATGGATACAAAAGCGGTAGCGGCCTGAAAACATGAGCAATCTAATACCATTAATAGAAGATGGTATAAAGAAGAGGACAGAGAAGGGGAATCACATCTCTTGAGAAAGTCTCAGAATACAGACAAAACACATTGATCCTTTTATGCATATAGCTTACTTTTCAAATTCAAGCTAGAAAAACTTTCTGCAACAACCGTCACAGAAGCCAGGACTGGTTCCCATTGAAGAGACTGGAGACTCACTGGACTTTAAGGAAGGATTATCTAGGGATAAGTGGCCCTTAGAAGCAAGTTCAGCACAATCTGGATTGTGCTGTACATTTGTGAGTGCTGTTTGGGAGGGTTTATGGTGGAGGACCTGGAAGGGAACTTGGTGTACCACTGAAACCCTACTGTATGTAATAAGGCTGTTAGGGGTATAAATAGATGTGCTGTTTTCAATATAGGTTGTTGTTTTTAACTTTCACAAAGTGCCATCTGGTGTGTAGGGAAAGGTCTATGATCACTGCACTGCTGAGGAAGGTTTTCCAGAGCTATAATAAAAGCAGCCTTGTCCAGGGTGGAAAATGCCCTCTGCAATCCCAGTAAAGCTTTAGTGACTGGGTCTGAAGCGCTCCTGGGTGCTTCAAAGCGAGGTACTCAATCAGAGTATGGGAGCTCCAACCCACTGCAGAGTGTCTTTTTTTCACTCACTTTTATTGATTTCTTTGTTCTCATATAAAAATTGTACTAGCAAAACCATTAACAGATTTATTTAACCAATCATTGTTAACAGGTGTAGTCCCAGAAGATTGGAAGTTAGCGAATGTTGTGCCCATTTACAAGAAAGGTAATAGGGAGGAGTCGGGCAACTATAGGCCAGTAAGCCTTACTTCAGTAGTGGGGAAAGTGATGGAAACCATGTTAAAGGATAGGATTGATGAACATCTAAAAACACATGGATTTCAAGATCAGAGACAACATGGGTTTACTTCAGGGAGATCATGCCAAACTAATCTTATTGATTTTTTTGATTGGGTAACTAAAATTATAGATCAGGGTGGTGCAGTAGACATTGCTTACCTAGATTTCAGTAAGGCTTTTGACACTGTTGCACATAGAAGGCTTATCAATAAACTGCAATCTTTAAGTTTGGATTCAAATATTGTTGAATGGGTAAGGCAGTGGCTGAGTGACAGGCAACAGAGGGTTGTAGTTAATGGAATATATTTAAAGCTTGGACTTGTCACCAGTGGGGTACCTCAGGGATCTGTACTTGGACCCATTCTCTTTAATATTTTTATTAGTGATATTGCAGAAGGTCTTGATGGTAAGGTATGTCTTTTTGCTGATGATACTAAGATATGTAACAGGGTTGATGTTCCAGGAGGGATAAGCCAAATGACAAATGATTTAGGTAAACTAGAAAAATGGTCAGAATTGTGGCAACTGACATTTAATGTGGATAAGTGCAAGATAATGCATCTTGGGCGTAAAAACCCAAGGGCAGAGTACAGAATATTTGATAGAGTCCTAACCTCAACATATGAGGAAAGGGATTTAGGGGTGATTATTTCTGATGACTTAAAGGTAGGCAGACAATGTAATAGAGCAGCAGGAAATGCTAGCAGAATGCTTGGTTGTATAGGGAGAGGTATTAGCAGTAGAAAGAGGGAAGTGCTCATGCCATTGTACAGAACACTGGTGAGACCTCACTTGGAGTATTGTACACAGTACTGGAGACCGTATCTTCAGAAGGATATTGATACCTTAGAGAGGTTCAGAGAAGGGCTACTAAACTGGTTCATGGATTGCAGGATAAAACTTACCAGGAAAGGTTAAAGGATCTTAACATGTATAGCTTGGAGGAAAGACGAGACAGGGGGGATATGATAGAAACATTTAAATATATAAAGGGAATCAACACAGTAAAGGAGGAGACTATATTTAAAAGAAGAAAAACTACCACAACAAGAGGACATAGTCTTAAATTAGAGGGACAAAGGTTTAAAAATAATATCAGGAAGTATTACTTTACTGAGAGGGTAGTGGATGCATGGAATAGCCTTCCAGCTGAAGTGGTAGAGGTTAACACAGTAAAGGAGTTTAAGCATGCATGGGATAGGCATAAGGCTATCCTAACTATAAGATAAGGCTAGGGACTAATGAAAGTTTTTAGAAAATTGGGCAGACTAGATGGGCCGAATGGTTCTTATCTGCCGTCACATTCTATGTTTCTATGTTTCTATGTTTCTATGTTTCTATGTTAAGTGGTTATAATACTATATAAGGTAAACTATATAAGGTGAATTGCCTTTGGACTCTTTAGGTGTTAATAAGACTGCTTATATATATGCTCAAAAAATTTACATCTGTTTGATATATGTTCACATTAACATTTTATGTATTAATAATGTCACTCTAAATGTATTTTGATTTAAATATATATGTATATTAATATCAAAATACAGTTAGAACAAATTTAAACCGCTTTATATTTAAAACATTTTTTTTTTATAATTATATAGATAATATTAAAATACACTTTTAACCCCTTAAGGACACATGACATGTGTGACATGTCATGATTCCCTTTTATTCCAGAAGTTTGGTCCTTAAGGGGTTAATAATGATTTATGTATCTGTATATAAAAGTACTTAGATTATATATATATTAATATAATCATGATCTAAGTACTTTTATTTACTTTTTTAAACTTTTATTTAACTTTTAAAACTTTTTGTAGGCATTAGGGGGACTGGCTGAGAGCTCAGGCAGGCCCCCTGCAGGCACTGCACAAGCCGGCCATTCCGGCCATGTGATTGCGAGGACCCTGCGATCACATGGCACCAGAGCGCTGAATCAGACAGATGGGGTCTGCCTCCCCAAGATCACGATCGCCGGCAGGGGATCGCCACCGATCAGGAAAGTCTCGATCTACTAAATGACGTACCAGGTACGTCCACAGTCATTACCGACCGTTTTTTGGCGGACGTACTTTGTACGACATTGGTCATTAGGGGGTAATTGAATTGAAGGAGGCAATTCAGTCTACTAGGCAGCACTTTATCATTACTACCTATTTTACTATATACACTCTCACTTTAACAATCTATACTTATTTAAAAATCTGATGTGTGCCACTATGAAAAAAACAACCAAATTATTCTTAGTTAAATCTTACATCATTTGAGCACTTTGTTAGTTAAAATTACCCCTCACAGGTCTTCCAATTCATACCATAAATACCCCAGGCTATCTAAAATGGCAAACTTTCAATGGGTTTTTTTACTTTAAATTTTGATGCTGGGTCTTTGACCCTTTCTTTTTTAAAGCCATTTGTTAGTTAAACCTAGCCCATAGTATCCCATTATTTTTTAAAAATATATACCTAATGTGTGTGGATGTTGAAAGGGGATTTTTGGGACACCAGTTTTATATTTATTACAAAGTTGATGCTGGACCTATGTCTCATTTTAAAGCATGTTACTAGCTTATGATTGGAAACTACCCCTCTAAGGTCTAAGGTCTTATATTTAAATATAAGCAGCTAATTCAAATTATGAACAAGTGCATAGTATTTGCTGTGAAAAGGAGAATATGTTTTTCTGCTGTTGGCTCTGCAGAAACAGGGAAAAATTAATTGTCGCATTCAGTTGTGTCAAACACTGAAAAACTGTTTGTCGCCCCTGAGTCTACTGTCGGAATTCTACAAGCACTGAACATCCTAAGGATTCCAGAGTGTACTATGTGATGTTGAAAAATACAGCATTCTAAGATCAGATTCTATGAATACATTTCTTCAAAGATACAAGAAGAGTTTGGATGAAGGCTGCAGTGGGGGAGAAGCTATCAGGTGACAAGTATGAGTTTATCTTTAATTGTCACCCTAGAAAAGCAACCTTCTACTGCCTGCCTAAAGTCCACAGGAGTTGTGAGAATCCACCAGGCTGCCCTATTGTCTCTGGAGTGGACAATTTAACACACAATAGGAGCTTATACATAGATAGGATTCTGAGACCATTTGTGATGAAGCTACAAGGCACCAAATTGGCACTGACCCTCCTCTCTGACGTCAAAGTAATGAATATATCCAATTTGTGCAGCCTTGATGTAGAATCCTTGTATTCCTCCATCCCGCACGGCAGAGGTGTGGAACATGTGAAGCACTTCTTGAGTTGAAGAGGACCTGGCTATCAGGCACATACAACATTTTTTTGTTGAGGCTCCTAGGGTTTATCCTGTCACATAACTATTTTTTAGTCCATAATAAGTTGTACCACATGCTAAGAAGCACGGCAATGGAAACAGCCTGTGCCCCATCATACGCCAATCTCCACCTGAGTTGGTGTGATAATAATATTTCAAATTAATTAAGTATGATTGATTGATCACTATTGAGCAACTCAAACATTTATAGATA